TGTTTAAATGTAAATATGCCAAACACTTTGATAGAAGAAGATCTTAAAAAAAATACCTTTATGATACTTTTCATAATTTTTCTATAAACTACTTTTATGATTTCTTATAATATGTGAAATCCCAGTTTTGTGTAGAGTGCATAGAAAATGTATAGAATGATGGTTTTAGGCAAAGTATGAGATATCAGCTTTTTGTAAGATTTTGTATACTTTTCCTAGGCATTATAAAGAATGACAAGCATCATTTTGGCAAAGTTTCAGAGGAACACAAGTAGAAGGAATACAAAATAAAGCATATAATATTCTTACCGGAAGATCAGTGAGAGCAGAGCTGAGATTGAAGTATTTGTTACAATATTGTTTTTGATGTGGTTGTAGAACCTGTTACCAGCAATACACTTGTCTTACAATAACATTCAACAGTCACATGCTTCGACTGCCATCATCAAACAATGACACAAGCACCACTGCCAACATAGGTGGTGGAAAAATGGCAGGGGTAGGCCAGTTAAATACTTTGCCAGCTCTGCATTCTATAGAATACTGTGATGTTTTTGATTTTATTTGTTCGATATATGTATCTTAAAAAAAAAAAAAAATATATATATATATATATATATATATATATATATATATATATATATATATATATATATATATATATATATATATATCTTTAAAAACCAAAATCAAAAATCAACTCATATACTAAAAAATCTAAATGTATACTTTAGATCATACCAATAGTAAGTATATTTATTTTAAAAAATCACAAACCCGAACTTATCTTGGCACACTAAATATAATATTGTTTTATCACTTATAAATTTCAAGTGTGAAAATGTGGGAGTCACAGATAAGTGGTTAAGTAACAAACATCTTGCAATCTCCAGTGTTTAAAATGAGAAAGATAATTGTACATTTCTAAGCTCTCTATCTTTTCTTCCCTACAAATTCATTAATTTCTCCCACTAAACCTTCTGTTAAACTTCCCTTTACCCTGTCAAAAGTGGTCTATTTTTAGACTCCAGAAGCACACTGGTCTATTCCACGAACACAGAGGTCAAAGTGCAGCCCAATGTTGAATGCATTACTCTCACTTAAACCGCTACTCTGTTCTTCCAAGTAGATACTGAACCGGGCTTTAACCCCGGAGCCCCTGATATTTGCTCAGAACATAAATATACCACTTATAACTGGAAGACAGGCAATTAGGCAGCGTCTGCCTTTTGGAAATGAAAAGCAAACTCGATTTACGGAGAAAAGAGTTCTGTAAACTGCACAAACCAATGCTAACAAAAGGTCAAAATTAGCATGGCGCATTAGAAAGACCAGAGCGAAAAATGAATAAGAAATGTCGAGACTTCGCTCTTCGTATGTGCGCTGTTGAATATTTATGACACTTAAAACACATCCAATTAACTATTTAAATGATTAATATTCATGCGGTCATAAATATGCATACTGTCATTGTTGCGCTCTATAGGAAGTGCGCAGGGCCGTGGATGTGTGTTCAGTCATAATGACGCTCTAAAGAAAAGCTTTTTGTTTGACGTCTGCTGAAAGCTGAAGTTGGACGATAAGCTTTGCCCATTACTGATGAGATAATGAGATTCGAACACATAACGCTGTGTAAGTCTATCTCTGCCTGCGATTAAGATCCAATTTAGACAACGGAGACAGGCCACAAAACATACAAGCTCAACACAGCAGTCAAAGATTGGAGAAGTAGGCGATATAAACAAAGAATATTCTATGCTCACAAATTTGTTTGAACATTATAGACGTTTTTTGTTGTGATTATGTTAAAATATAGAATTATGTAAAGGTTAGCATAACAATCTTAAAGGAATATTTCACCCCAAACTTAAAATACTGCCAAACAAATAAACCAAAAAAAAAATTGCATAGTTTTTTGATTCGTTTTTTTATTTTTGTTTTGTGTTTGTTTTTTGTTACAGAAAAAAATAGTAAAATGAAATATTAACTGTTTTTCTGGTGTTTCGTTTTCTAGAATAAATAAAATAATCAAATAAATAGATGATAAGCATACCTTTTCTACTATGGAAGTTAATGATTGCAGGTTTAACAGAATAAAGAAACTCATTAAGCTTTGGAACCACATGAATCTGAGGAAATGGTGAGTAAATTTAAATTTTTGGGTGAACTACCCCTTAAAATCTTCTTTTGCATTAGCTATTAAAAACCATTGATTTGTACTATCCCTCTGTTGCTGAATTATGATGATTTCAACACTTCACAGTATATAATTTGCTAATAAAGATAAAAACAAGCAGTTTTTATCCATTTCAAGGGTGTGTTCTCACTTTTGCAAGGTTTGATTTGATTTAAGTCTTCAGTTAACTCTGTATCTCATTTAATACTACATGTATCCTTTTCTTTTTTAAACCAAACAGAGTTACAATATAGGTTTAGTCATGTTTAAACTGCTCTACAATCCATCAGCAGAAGCGAGTCTTTGTCCTCCAGTGGTTTTGTTGGAGGATTGAGCTCAACAGAGGCATTCAGGTGGAACAGGCGAGCACACCTCCATCTGCCTCTTCATCACCACACCATCCAAACACCAACGTGACCAGCGTGACGGAAGAGTGTTGCTGGTGCAGTCACAATAATCAGATACTGTCAGCATTGTGCTATCCAACAATGAAGAAAAAAAATATATATATTTAACATATTTCCCCCCAATGTTCCCATTTCCCAAGGGATGTTTAAAAGAAAAAGGGCATTTTACAGCATTCCCCTATAATATTTTTTTTCTCTGCTGAAAGTCCTATTTTGATTAGTTTGGCTGAAATAAAAAAAAAAAAGAGAAAACAGTTTTTACTATTTTAAGGTTAATATTATTACGCCCTTTAGGATTATTATTATTTTTTTTTTTCAATTGGCGACAGAACAAAACCACTTTTGTCTTGTTAATTAACCTAAATTGCCTAGTTTACCTTATAATCTTGTTAGGCCTTTAAATTGCAGGGCTAATGATTTTGCCATCAACTGTACATATATTTATTTTTTATCTTTGTGTGTGTGTGTGTGTGTGTGTGTGTGTGTGTGTGTGTGTGTGTGTGTGTGTGTGTGTGTGTGTGTGTGTGTATCAACAATAAGTTAGTCATAAGGTTATCTATAAGCAAAGTTGTGCTCCAAAACAAACACAAGATCCAAGTTCAGACAATATAACCATTCAAAACATGTAGCTTCTCAATTATCAAAATATGGATCAACATTTATTTAAAACATCACCATATGCTTAAAGTCCGCATGAACTGCAAGCTGCAACTTTTTTTCTTTTTTCCCTAGAGAAATTGAATATTATAATTATATTATTAAATGATGAAACAGTGGGCGTAGCTTGTTTTTTTTTAAACTGCGAGTTGATTGGATGTAATAAAGTGGGCATTTCATTCAGAAAGATTTAGAAAAAAAGGTTTTAGTAGAGCTATTACAACAGACACCTCCTCCTCATCATTTTTGTTTGTTGTCATAGTGCTGTCAAAACTGACATTTGGAGGGGGGTGGTTAAATATGTTATCAGGCTAGTAGTTCAAAAGACCCACCCCTCACTGACATATAGTAGGTTTACAATTTGTCCCAAAACATGAGCTCATTTGCTACACCACCATAAGTGGTGAAAATAACCCACAACCCATCAAAAAGGCTTTAAGGTCAAGCAGAATGTTGGCCGTCACACCGGTGTGACTTCAGCTAATCAGTTTTGGCCAATGCAAATAATTAACAGTTCAACATCTGGCTGTGCAAGAAAACATGCAATAAGATGTATGTGAAGTAATTTTTTTGCTACTTTATTGTTGTTAAATAAAGAAAACATTTTACAAGTAAATTCAAGTTATTCTAAATCTGGAGCCTTATTCTTAAAACAAAAAACATAAAACAAAAAAAAATGACCGTGTTTTATTTATTTTTTATTATTCAAAAGGCAAAATTCTATCTGAGGAAAGTTAAATGTACCGGCCAGTTTGTTTTTTGCCTAACAAAAACAACGCACTACAGTTTTTAATTTAAAACCTTAACAGATTCCTATTTTTATGTATTTTTGATACATTATGTAATAAATTAGTATTAATAAAAATATGTATATGTGTATATTTTATAGGTTTATTTTTCATTATTTGAAATCTTTAAGAAATATTTTGGTACATTGAAAAGTGTGGTTAAAATGTCACTGTAACTGTAAAAAGGTCCACATTTTAAAAAAAAAAAGAACCACCCCTTTCACCAGGCTAGCTACGGGCCTGGTTATCCATGCCCAATACAGTCCCTCATACAAACATAATCTGAGAATTTAACTGAAAACAAACATGTAGTCCATTTTCAGATTACAATTAAAAATTATAAAGGCAAACTACTTTTTTTTTTTTTCTTAATGACATGCACAGATGAATTGTGTACAACAAAACTAGCAATATCAGCTAACAAAATCAATACAGTTAGTTTTAATTTCATGAGTACTTTAAGCATCACATCAGATCTTCTGACCAATCTAATGCCCTCTAGTATTTAAAGCACCACACCATCTGCCCCAGCACACACACACTGTCGATTTCAGCCCAGAGACACAATAGCGTATGAGTATGTTGACACAGGCCATGAAAAACACACCAAACCAATATGAAATAGACTAAATGCTGTATTTTAAAGTGGTTTAAACAGTTAAGACAGACTCTAAACAGTTAGACTCATCATTGCTTTTATAGACTATGGCTGTCATGAGTCAGATGTAGCTAAATGGCTAAGCTTATTAGCTAAACTACTCTGGCACAGCTGTGATATAAAGAAACATAAACAAAATGCTACTGGCCATTTTGAATAAATGGGAGGAGCTCCTTGATATGGCCCACCCTAATGATATAATGACAAAAAAATGCATCCCACAGTAAACAAAGCTGAGCATTTCAAGTCACTTTAAGGCACCTATAAAAATTACAGTCTCTTGTTTTACAAGCTGGATGAAGGTGAACACTTACATCTGGTCACGACTCCCTCCAGTCGGATGATGTTGGGATGGTCGAACTGGCCCATGATGCTGGCCTCGCTCAGAAAGTCCCGCCTCTGTTTCTCTGAATATCCTGCTTTCAGACTCTTGATAGCCACATAGATTTCCCTCTTGCTGGGGAGCTTCAGACGGCCACTGCACACCTCACCAAACTCACCTGAGGAGTCAAACACAGCCACCGTCAGCAAATCAGCTAAGATTAAGACAATTTGGGATATATATATACTGATTGCCTTTCTTACTTTTTACCTTCTTACTAGGTTTTGTCTTCTATATAGTCTAAATAAATAAGAAAGAAGTGAAAATTAAGTGGGTGTTTCCTTAAAATAAGCTAAATAACTAATGATGTAAGTAAAACAATGTTGTATTAGATAACAAAAAAAAATATATATATATATTTATATATATATATATATATATATATATATATATATATATATATATATATATATATATATATAATATTATTTTATCCCATTTGCAGATTATTTTACGGGAACACTTTATTTTGAGTATCAGTAGACTGTCTGCCTTATCTGTTGATACTGCTCCTTCAACAGACATTTAACTGACTATAAGAAACTTTGCAAGTAGATGTCAACTAACCCCAGCCCCAACCTTAAACCCAACCTAATAGTCTACTTATAATCTAATGATAATTAGTTGACATGTAGGTGCACTATATTTAACAAACGGACCATCAAAATAAAGTGTGACCAAGTATTTACTCTGCAAAATAATGCTGATGAAAAGAGGAAATAAAATAAATTACAGAGGCATTTGTTTACAATTTCAGAGTTAGCATGTAGCTTGTTACCATAGAATATTAGACTTAATTTAAGAAAAAAATATCTTTCTCCATTCTAAGTAAATTCTGAAGAAACAAAATTTTTATACATTATAAATGTACATGTCAAATTACACTAACCCTAAATCCAACCCCAACCTAACAGTCTACTTATAATCTAATGAATTTAGTTGGTAAGTAAATGCAATGCAACTTAAATTCCACAAATGTTTATGTTTTTACTGAAAATTAAACAATGTTTTTTTTTTTACTTGTAGAAAATGTCTTATTTAAATAAGACAAAAATTCTAAGAAAAGCTATTTTGCAGTATATGCATGGTGTTTGTTTGTGTTTACATATTTTTGCAAGTTATATTTTAGACTTTTCTGCCTTTATTTGACAGTGTATGTGGACAATGACAGCAGTGACAGTGAGGAGAAAATCATGAGCTCTAAAAGTACAACTATATAGACCAGGAGTGGTCAAACATTTCCTATAAAGGGCTAAAAAGCAAACTTGATTGAGGTCTGTGGGCCAAATATATATACCAAACCCATTTACGTAAAATGTTCCATGGGTAATTTCCTATTTAATTAAAATATAAGTAGAAAATGTTGCTTTAAATCATATTAATTAATGCAGTATCATTTGTAACATATAATAATGAACTTAAAAACATAAACAACCCCATTATACAGAGTTCGGCGCAAAAAACAATAGTCTAGCTGCTCCTGCCTTTACCTTGAGTTGTTCACAGATATCTTATTTATAGTCCTCTGTCAAGCGACAGTATTTACATTTTAAAGAGCCCATATTACGGGTTTTTGAAAATTCCCCTCCATGTAGTGTGTAACACAGCTCTAAGTGAAGTGAAGTATCCAGCTAAGGCTTAAATCTGTTAGTGTACAGTGTTTAAAACGGTTGATTCATCTATAAAAGAGTCGACTCATAGTGCTTCAAACGAGTCGCCTTGATACCGATTCATTAGGTGTTTCGCCATGACGTACGAACGAAACCAAGTTATTCACGTGCACGCGCAAACCCGGGAGATTTCAAACCTGAGGCCCCGCCCTCTGACGCAGAAACCCAGACACACACACACACACACACCCACAAACACACGCACACAAACATGCCGGTCGATTGAAGTCACACTGCAGATGGACATTATCGATTCTCTACCCAGAGATGAAACCTCAGCATTATAACCAAGCAGTTGGAAACTTCTGGAAACTACAGGCTACAAAGAATACTTCATCAGCGTTTGTTAAAGTAAGGATCAGTAAAGATTAACTTACTAATGGACATCAGGTTGAGTTTCTTCCTCCATTTCTCAAATGTAAGTACGTGCGATTAAAGTTGCCTCGTTGACTCTAGCTTGCAAATGTATTTAGTTGTGATTTGTTACTTGTAACCGAGTGTACTGTATCAGGTTAACTGGCTATATTCTCTTATCGCGTGCAAAGTCACGTTAAAAACGCGACGCGTGCTGTTTGTTTACGGAGCTCCGTGGTAGAGGTCTGCATTCCCGCGGCTGTCCCCGCGCCAGATTTCTGCGGCGCGGGAATAAATTTCCGAATCAATCGCGGGAGCGGTCGGTAACAGGTTTAATTTGGGACGGGAGCGGGCTGTCTAGCAATATCGTGGATATTGCTATGCGAATGAGACAGAGCTTTGCCTGCCTGTGTGTCTGCTTGGCGCTTGTGTGTATGTGTTAGTGCGCGCGTATGAGAGAGAGAGAGAGAGAGAGAGAGCTCTGTCTGGCTGTCTCTGGACTGTTTTGCTGGGTGATTTTCGGTTATGTTCTCCCCCGCTCTTTAGCGGGATCGGGCGCGACGGGCAGAAAACGGGGCGGTTCGGGCACCGGGACAAGAAATTCTAAATATAAGCGGGAGCGGTCGGGTTCAGGCTAAAACCTGGCGGGTGTGGGCGGAAGCGGGAGCGTTGTCGTCCAGAGGTGTGTGTGTGTTTGTGTGTGTGTGTGTGGCAGCTAAAATCCACGCCTACACTATGGAGCGCGTATGAACTGTGATTACTTTTATATTGCTGATTAGCTATTGGGCATTTCATTCTCTGACTGAAGGCAGTCGACCAATCGTGACAGACTGTCATCGGTCCAATCAGCGCAGATTAGCTTCGCGCTAAGGAGGGGTTTGGGAACAAATGAATCACTGGACGATTCATACAGGAGTCGCTGGGATAATTAGGTAAAAATAAATGCAGATTATAAGACCATGAAAGTGTTTTTTGACTTTGCATGCATATTAGACTGTTGTTGGAGACCCTTACAACCAAGATATGACCCCATTTCATGTATAATATGGGCTCTTTAAAAGTTTGATTCATTTACAACTTTTAATTGAATAATTTAATTTAAGTTGGCTTTTTGTAGCTTAGCAATAAAACAAATAAACAATAGGTTACGTTAATTTTGAAATGTCGATCTCTGTCAAAGGGATTTGCAACAACCACCTACCCATCATTCTCACTCTCTTTTCAGATTGGATGGCAGGACAAATCAAAGATTACCATGGGCCAACTTTTGGCATTTCTGATATAGACACTTTCGTACTGAGATTATAGAAAATACATGGCTAATGTGTTCTGGGAATTGTCCTTGGATTCAATAACTCTGTAAAAAGTAGTTATTTACTTTACTTTAAAAAAAGTGAGTAAATTTGCTGCCTTAAAACCAACAAGTTGACTCTACTTATAAACATGAGTAAACCCATTGTAACTTGGAACTGTTAACTTGCTTTAACTTTTATAAATATTCACATAGTTAATTTACTTAAAATTGTAAAGGCAACAGGTTTACTCCATATTTTAAGTTGTCAACGAATAGTTTTAAAAGCAACATGTTTCTTCATTTATTTATACTAAAATCATTTGTCCCAGTGCACACTTTCAGTTTTTGGAATCTGTTCATGCATTCACACAACCTGTAAAGATTCCATAAAGACAAGTGACATTAGGATGTGACATACTTTGTAATGTAATAGTAAAAGATGCAGCAACGTCAGTTTACTTACCACTCGATAAATCTAAATTGTTTTTTTGTTTATTTTTATTTGTTCATGCAGAAAGTGAGAAATGGAAGCCGATAAGTTTATTCATTTTCCTTCGGCTTAGTCCTTTGTTTATTAAGGGTCGCCACAGCGGAATGAACCACCAACTACTGCGGCAAATGTTTTACACAGCGGATGTCCTTCCAGCCAAAACCCAGTACTGGGAAAAAGTCAGCAAGTTACAGCTGAAGTCAGAATTATAAGCCCCCTTTTGATTTTTTTCTTTTTTAAATATTTCACAGTAAGAATTTTTACAGTATGTCTGATAATAGTTTTTCTTCTGGAGAAAGTCTTATTTGTTTTATTTTGACTAGAATTAACCTAATTAACCTAGTTAAACCTTTAAATGTCACTATAAGCTGTATAGAAGCGTCTTGAAAAACATCTAGTAAAATATTATTAACTGTCATCATGACAAAGATAAAATAAATCAGTTATTAGAAATGAGTTATTAAAACTATAAGGTTTAGAAATGTACTGAAAAAATCTTCTCTCCGTAAGACAGAAATTAGGAAAAAAATATACAGAGGCGCTAATAATTCTGACTTCAACTGTATATTTCTGAAAAGTACTCATGAGGAAATGTATTATTTGTATTTTTATTGTATTGTTTTAATTTATTTCAAGGAATTACATTAAATTGCTAACCCAATGAAAAGCAGTCATCCAAATATTTACTGCATAACTGCATTTCTGGCCAATGATAATCAAATAATCCAGAAAGCTTTATATCAGAGTTGTTCAATTGAGAATGAGATTGGGCAAAGCTCTATTATTTGATGAATAATATATCAGTCAAACTTGTCTTGGTTAAACATGTGTCCCCTTCTCTCTCTCATACACATTATTTTTCCATGATATCTTCTAATTCAGAGCTTCTAAAGCCCTAAAGAACTTTATTGCACACTATTGCAAGCAGATGAAGAAAAAGAGGAAATGAGACATTGAAAGAAAGGAAGAGGCAGGATAAAAGACAAAAAAGATGGAGAAACAGACACTTGCTCATAGAAAAAGCATATGCTGAGGAAAATGAGATTTCAAAGCCAAGTTCAGACGCAGAGATATACGGCATTAACAGCTCAGTATTTCAAACAGCAGCTTTGTGTGTGAGGATTACAGTCTGCAGACATTCTATAATTAGGGCAAATAGAAACCTCTGTTATCATATACTTGCACACAACTGCACTTTCACTCGTTTTATACACTGAACAAAAAACAGATGTAACAAAAATTGAAAACGACATGATTTGTATAATATATAAGGCTGTGGAGTAAAAATGTGACCACTTGAAAACTCTCCTTGGATTTGTTTATTTGTATTTACTGGATTTGTTAAGTTTGAGTTTGAGTAAAATAGTAATATTTATTTTGTTCAATTTTCTGACACAATTTCCATCAAATGTATTTATTTACTTGTTTGTTTTTTATTTAAATAATTATTATTATTTTTTTAAATTTCAGAAAAAAAGGTCAGAATAATAATTTTAAAAGGTTTCAATTGGTATTGAAAAGCATGTTTGTATCAGGATATATTAATTTCTTAACTCTGAAGTAAAATAATTGATATTGTTTATAAATATTATGATTTTGCTATATTATGCAATTAGCATTTATTTGTAAAATTCACACAAATCTAAATGCTAAAACTCAATTCTAAAACTCAAACACATATGAATAAATTGTAAATCCAGATAAAATAGAATTTTCAAGTTGTTTCCATATTATTATTTTTTTCATGATTTATTTCCAAAATCTGATCTACAGAAGAGTCTCACCTGCCCCTATAACTCTCTCGATACGTATAGTGGAGGCATCAATTTCCTTAGCAAAATCCCGAACGGCTTGATTTGGGTCCTCATAAGTGTGCGGGTGAATGTACGTCCTGCTTCCTGGCAGCTTCACTGCAATAGGTAAAAAAAGAGATCACACATGAGGGATTTTGAGCCCAAATTAATGCCAAGCCATGACAGCATCATAAACCAAAAGAGTCTTCTAAAAAACATAAAAAAAGATAAACTCTATGTTGATGTAGAACAAGTTTGTGATTTATTTCACAGCTGAGGCTGGAAAAGAAACCTTTTACATTTATGTTACCGATAAAAACAGTCGTTTGTTTTGACAATCTAATAATGTTTTGTGTATGTGGGTTATGTTGGCCATCATACAGTACCTCTGCCATTCTGAAACTGCATTTTTTCTTCATCTGGATCTTGCTTTGCTTTAATGTAGCCACAATGTCTGAAACACATAAAAAAGACAAAAGCATCTCCTATAAAAAGGTATATTTTATAAACAAGCCATAAACTTGCCATTCTGGACTCTACTAGAATGAGGAAAAGATTATGATTTTTTCCATGCTTCTGAAGAACATGAAATTTCCTTCATATATTCAACTCAGCTGAAACATTCATCACTGCTTTCCAGTCCGCATACACAGCTGTAAAGAGATACTTTACACACACACACACACACACACAAAAAAAATACATATTGTCATTATTTACTAATCCTCTACTTATCACAAAGATGTTTGGGTTTCTATCATCTGTTGAACATGAAATAGGATACATTGAAGACAGTTGGAATGCAGCAGCTTTTGAATTCCATAGTATTTTATGTTCCTTCTATGAATGTCAATGGCTACAGATCTAACATTCTTCCGAAGATATTGTTTTGTGGAGAATAAATTATGAAGAAATTGCTATTTTTGTTTAAACTAAATGAATCAATTTTTTTTTAAGCACAGTGATATTCTTTAGCTGAATAATTATTCTGTTTATGTTCATCCAATCCATTCTCTACACTTCAATCACCATCTGGTTCGGCTCAGTTGCAAAAACAGACCTCCGTAGACTACAACGAACAGTCCGATCTGCTGAACGAATCACTGGCAGTACCCCTCCTACACTTCAAGAACTGTACCTTTCCAGAGTGAGTATATGGGCTTGCAAAATTACTCTGGACACCTCACACCCAGCACACTTCCTGTTTGAACTGTTACCATGGTCTGCGCTTCAGAGCACCAAGCACAAAAACAGCCAGACACAAGAAAAGTTTCTTTCCTCAAGTTATCTACCTCATGAACAGTTAAAGATTCTCCTACTGTGCATGGGCAATGCACAGGGCAATTTTCTCATATTCACTTTTACACAGCATCTTATAACAATATGCAATGCATTACTTTCTTATACGCATTTGTAAACAGCACCTCATAACTTATATATGTGTAACAAATCTGTACATGCAATTCAACATTCAGATTTTTTTGCATGTCTGTTTAATGTTTGTCATTTTTTTTTCATATTGATTTTCGAGTCGTCACTTGTCACTTTATGTACACTGGAAGCTTCTGTAGCCGAAACAAATTCCCTGTGTGTGTAAAGCACACTACACAATAACCCCCCCCCCCCCCCCCCCCCCAAAAAAAATAAATAAAAATAAATAAAAAAACTGTAACCTTCAAAAGCAGTCTGACCATTTGCTTCAGCGTTTGAAGTGGCAGTCCAACTTGTAACGCAAGTTTGACAATTTCAGCCACAAAATTCTAAACCACACCCCTCCTACCGTTAATTTGCTAAGAGGGAATGGTGCACAAAAGCCCCGCCCCTACTCAATATTCCAATTAAGTTGGAATTACATAAACACACAGAACAAAAAGTCTCAGAAGATTTTATATTTTTTTGATTGAATAATTCCTTATTTTCATGTTTAAACATTAAATTTTAATGACCGAATATTATAGAAACTGACTTAGTAATATGAAAACAAAAATCTGTTATTATTTAACTCAATCATCTGACATGGTGATTTCTGAAATTGGAATCTACAGACACAAATTGATAAAATAATATAAGAAAATCACCTTAAAGTGTATTTTATGTTCTATTCAATGTTCTATTTCTAAAAAAAAAAAAAAAAAGCTAATTCAAAATAAGCTATTTCGAACAATTCTAGAAATCCATTAACTTCCATAGTAGGAAATACAAATACCATGGGTGTCCATGGTTAACGGTTTCTAACATTTTTCAAAATAATATATAAGGGTGAGCGAATGATGACATGATTTTCAGTCTGGTGTGAACTATCCTTTTAAGGAAAAGAATGAAAGAAAGAAAGAAAGAAAGAAAGAAAGAAAGAAAGAAAGAAAGAAAGAAAGAAAGAAAGAAAGAAAGAAAGAAAGAAAGAATGAATGAATGAATGAATGAATGAATGAATGAATGAATGAATGAATGAATGAATGAATGAATGAACGAATGAACAACAACAACAACAAAAACAAAAACACTTTATAAAAATCCAAAAAGCCTAACATCTCAAAATTGACAGGTGCATGAAAAGATTTAGTTTTTTGCCAGTAGTGTCTCCCCTTAATTGGGTCTGAATGAGTATGCAACCTAAAACAAGAATAAAAGTGTTCAAATAGGAGTCTGAATAAGTGTATGCCCCGATAAAAAGTCTGTGTGTGTGTGTGTGTGTGTGTGTGTGTGTGTGTGTGCGTGTGTGTGTGTTGTGCGCAGTAGCACATCTGTGAATATAGTCTCTGAGGGCACGTTGGAATGTCTAAAAATACCCACTGGTGTTCTGGGTCTCCGTGGGTACGATTTGGAAACCGTCTGCCTTTGCCTGCAGCAATATAGTGCAACACACCCAGTATAAAAGCTCCTAAAGGCATAGCAGCATTTTAAACATCACGGCAAAACAACAGGCCCCCTTCACAGTCATTTGTTAACTAATTGCAGTGGCAATTTCCGCATAAAAGACCCCTGAAGCTTGTCTTCTGACGGAACATGGTAATTGCAATTAAAAAATAACAGCAGTTTCACATTTGAACAAGTTCACCTTTTCATAAAATCATTGGATGAGATACATAAACATAAATGTATAGCACTAAATGAGCAACATGAAGTTAAAGGATTAGTTCACCCCAAAAAGGAACATTTACTCACCATTTAATCTCCCTCATATGCTTCCAAACCCAAATAAAGTTTCCTTTTTTTCTGTTAGACAAAAAAAAAAAAAAAAAGCTATTTTGAAGAATGCTAGAAACCAGTACCCATTGACTTCCATAGTAGGAAAAACAAATATCATACTATGAAATCAATAGTTACTGGTTTCCAACATAAATTGTTTTGTATTTAATAGAGGAAAGAAACTAAAACAGGTTTGTGACAAGTAAGGGGTGAGTAAATGATGACAAAATATTCAGTTTGAGGTGAACTATCGCTTTAAGCAAATGGATCAACAAATGAATGAATGAATGAAGGAATGTATAAATAAATGAATGGATGCATTACCAAATGCACGAATGAACTAACGAATGAACCGATGGACGGTTGGACAAACGAACGAACAAATGGACAAACGAATAAACAATCAAATAAATGAAGGAACCAACAAACCAACCAACCAACCAACGAACAAACAAATGAATGGACCAACGAATGAACGAATGAATGAACCAATAAACCAGCAAACCAACAGACGAACGTACAGACGTAAAAATGAACCAACCAACAAACTAAAAAACAAACGGACCAACTAAACAACCAAGCCAAACCAACTAACCAACCAACCAAACCAAACCAACAAACCTAAACCAAACCAAACCAAACCAAACCAAACCAAACCAACCAACCAAATGGACAAACAAATGAAAGGACAAACAAATGAACAAACAAACAAACTAATAAAGCTCGGGAAGCTACATCATAGCGAGTTGCGTTCGGCCATGTTTGTGGACAAACCGAGGAGCACTCAGCAGATGTGAATCAAAAAAAAAAAAAAAAAAAACATCTCACAAGCACTGAGAATAAAATTAACTAATGTGTAAATACCTTTATCAATGCTCTTTTTGTGCCTGAGAAGAAAAGTTGTGTACGACCGCAGAGGGTCAGATCGAATAAATGAACGATTTTACTTATAACTGACAGCATATCAACAAGCTGCAGCAAAAAAAAAAAAAACAGATCCAGATATGATTTTCTTCAGTATTTGTAATGTGAGTACTTACAGTTGATTGCTGATGAGTGTATGATACAATACATCAATAGGGATTAAAGGGAATCAGGCTATCTTGTCCTAAATACCCAGAATGCTTTGCGCTTTCACAACACATTCCTGTTTTCTATTAATGGGTAATTTCTAGTGACTGAAACTATAACTATATATAACTATTCCTTTCTTTCTTTCTTTCTTTCTTTCTTTCTTTCTTTCTTTCTTTCTTTCTTTCTTTCTTTCTTTCTTTCTTTCTTTCTTTCTTTCTTTCTTTCTTTCTTTCTTTCTTTCTATCTATCTATCTATCTATCTATCTATCTATCTATCAATCTATCTATCTATCTATCTATCTATCTATCTATCTATCTATCTATCTATCTATCTATCTATCTATCTATCTATCTATCTATCTATCTATCTATCTATCTATCTATCTATCCAAAAATCATACTTTTACACTATATGCTCTGTAAATGGATTAAGGATTAAGCTCTAACAACACACAAACACACACACGCTTTTGGGTTTGTCACTTTTCAGACTGCATAGCTGCGCACTGTTATATTAAACAGCTTTTACATTAGCTGATTCCATCAAATTGCGTCTACGAAACACGAAAGGAAAGTTACAATTTTAACGAGAGACGTGTTTTCAACTTTTGATGACCTTCAACCATCCTTCCTGTTAAATGCCACATTTGTCCCATTTATTTTGACATCCTCCTTGACATCAGTAAGAAGAGTCGAGGATTCCACACAAGCATACACAGACACACATGCAAATACACACACATGTAGGGGGATCCATCAGTCCAGCCAATTAGTGTCGTTTACACGATGACAAGCTTGTGTTTGATTCAGCCAAATAAAATCACCATCAAACTGAAGTGATGGAGGATGATCAAGACTGGCATCCTGTAGCACATGTGTCTGTGTGGTATATCAGTGCGCCTGCCAAAGACACATTCACTCTCACTCTCTCTGCTGCCACGCAATCACAGCTCCAACCTGCCAACTCGCCATGGCTGGGCTCTGGTGACCCTGGCATGGGCGGCCCGTCTCCTCATCATTACTGCCAAATTAAAAGGCAGAAGCCTCCAGCTCATCTGTCGACTCTTATCCCAAACTCAACTGCTTACGGACGGCCTTGGATCTCACCCCGAACCAATTATAATCAAAAGATGATTTTAAAATGTACTAGTGCTTGATTGTAATGAGAGACTTCTGCGTTTTCTTCTCGGATTA